TTGACTTGAAACTTTGACCCACGCTTCCAAAATCTCGTTCTCGTCGTCTTGAGATGCGAATATTTCTGCGCAATTAATATATATGCTCGGAATGACTCGGAAATGGCTCGCGTGGCTCGAACATAGTTCGGATGACTCGAAAATGTCTCAGAAATGGATCGTCTTCCCAAGATCGAATAATGTGGACCTAAAAAACACCAAAAAGACAAGAAAAGTACGCCGAACCACAAAAACACAATACGAGAATAAAAATGAACGAAACACGATAAAATGGACCGGTTGACACTAAAACGAACCTAAAAATATTAAACTCAAGTACATAAAACACACAAAAATAAGCACAAAAACACAATAAACAGCCGTGCCAAACGCCCAACATCAGCCAGTCTAGCACTCGCGGCGAAAAGGGACTCTCGCTCCACGAGACGCGCGCATGAGGAAGTCGTCCAGGCATGGAGCGAAGACTCAGTCGCGACACGCCAACAGGCGTGCGCCCCCAGCACCTATCGTCCACACTCGCTGCGAAGCTCAAGTCGCCCCCAGCGAAGCGGCGCGCGCGCGGAACCATCATGCCGGCACTCGCCTGCGAAAGGTAGCTCGCGACCAGCGAGCTTCGCATCCCAGCGCGCACATTACCCTTACCAGCACGCACTCGCTGGCGAACTACATCTCACGCCTGGCGAAACGCACGCCCCAGCGTCCATCAATGCACTCACCGCGAACTTAGGTTGGCGACCCGCCAACCGCGCGCCCCAACAGCCCTATGCCTTAGTACTCGCCAGCGATCTAGCATTGGCGAGCCCTACTTGTGAACTAGAGTGAAATATGAGGAGATCAAGTTGAGGAGACTAAGTAGAGGTCTCTATGACTATGAGGAGGACCTTCTAGAGGTCACCCACCTCTACCTGTTAGAGGTCATCTCGTTTCGACCTGTTGGAGGTTACTCACCCCTACCTGCGAGAGGTCACTCACCTCTACCTGCTAGAGGTCATCTCTTCTCGACCTGCTAGAAGTCATCTCGTCTCGACCTGCTAGAGGTCATTCGTCTCGACCTGCTAGAGGTCACTCACCTCGACCTGCTAGAGGTCATCTCATCTCGACCTGCTAGAGGTCACTCACCTTGATCTGCTAGAGGTCTCCGCTGCTAGAGGTCTCCGTTACTAGAGGTCTTCACTGCTAGAGGTCTCTATGACTAGAGGTCTCCGCTATTAGAGGTCTCTGTGACTACAAGAGCATGACCTAGAGGCAGTAAATGGATAAGAAGGAATCTGATGATGACTCAGATGTGATTAAGATACAAATAAGATAAAATCTCAGGCAGTACGGGCAGGCTGACCGAGGGCAGTCCGGGCAGGTATTTCCCTTATAAAAGGGAACTAAGGTACAACCCTAACTCCTCTCTCCCACATTCTACACACTTCTACATACATTACAGCTCTATATTATAGATCTTCCATCTTCCTCTCTTCTGTTTACTGACTTGAGCGTCGGAGGCCCGACGCCGGGACCTCTCCCGGTGTTGGGTTCTTACAGGTACTTGCGGCGATCTAGAGGCTGTTCAGACAGATCAGAGCTCATCTCATCCAATTCACTCCCGATCTAGGTACCACTTGCCACATTTTTCAAAATTCACTATGGTTTATAAAAAAGTACATTTTGAACAGATTATTTGTTAAAACAAGCGCTCCCCGAGGTTTTTTTTTTTTTCTTTTTTGTTTTTCCTTTTTGCAAAAGGGTACTAAATTTTTGTGGATATTTTGGTTTATTAAAATGTGTCAATCAACCATTTGTTAAGTTGTCGTATTAATCTTCTATTATATCAACTAATGAACATATTAACTTGTGAATTTCGAGATCAGAAAACATGAGATTGTATAAGTCTAAATTAGTAATTAGTATATCAACAAAATAATCTCCCTACATTTGAAAGAAATTTTTAAAACATTACATCAACTCCAAAAATCACAAACAAAACAAATTGAAATCACGCTAAGATTGATCCTATCGGTAATTGCACTATAGTTATTAGATTTTTATTATAAAAAAATATATATAAAATATCTAGATTCACTTGGGTTGAATAGACATGGTCAAGGGTTGACTCGGCCTGAAATCAGCCCGGATTTACCAGATTTTGAAACGGACCTTTAGCTCTTAAGGGCCGATTCTGGGTCTTCATTTTTCTTTTTTGACCTGTCAATTCTTGATAAAAAAAACGGGTCATGGTTGATTTTATTTTTTTTTTCAAAATAAAAACCAACAGTTCATTGAACCGTTGAGTCGGGACGGTACATTTGAGCCGACCGTTAAATATAGCCGGGACGATTCTGGGCGCAACATTTGAGACTCACCGAATCGTGAACTGGCCCGGCATTTGGACATTGAAAGGATCCCAAAAATCACGTTTTAACCAGACATGGCCACGGGCGGCCCGGCCCGTGGCCCGACCCGTGACCCGGTACCGGCCCGGCCCGGCCCGGTACCGGTACCGGCATGAACAGTGCCGGGTTCGAGAACCGGACCGCGGCCAATCCGGTCCGGTTAAGGGTCACGGGTTTTTTTTGTTGGTCCCGCCGGGCCGGGCCGGGCCGGGTCATTTCTTTTGCTTTTTTTAAGGGCCGTACCGGCCCGTGAACCGCCGGGCCGGTGAACCGGCGGTTCGGGCCGGTTCTACGAACCGGCCCTTCGTTCCAACCGGGCCGGTCCCGGTTCCACCATTTCCAGACCCGTGGCCCGGCGGGCCGGGCCGGGCCGGGCCCGGACCCGGCACTTGGCCACGTCTAGTTTTAACCATCCAAAATCGGGGTTTCACTACAAGAAAAGCGTGTTTTTCATGATGGATAAAACGTCCCGACAAGTGTTTCAGAAATGGCAGTAAGTAGTCGCTAATCAAAACAGTGAGAAATCGCTAAAAACAAACACCTTCTTACGCAATATAACAGAATGTCCTACGTCACCTCCAGCAGTAATGACGTAAACTCGAGTTTAATTGTAAATTAAAAAAAAAAAAAGAGCTGAAAATAAACAGTCGGACGGGCACGGAGAATGGGACGTAAAGATTCATAGAGATATCGATTTGACTATTTGATGATATATATTCTGTGTCAGGTTTTGCCTTAATTTTTATCTTATTTTTTTATTTAACTTCTGACACTTTTTTTTTTTGGCTTATTTTTGGCTTTGATTTAGTAAATACGTGTGATTTAATAGGGTATTCATATCGAATTTTATCCCAATTTAAGTGTGCATATAGATTTTTTTATACAAAGTTTGGCGTATTTTTGGAAATTGCTGTCCCTATTATGCCGTCAAAGAGGTTGAGTAGTTGATTTCGGATGGCTCCTTTTAATAGCTTTTTTTATTGTTACTAAAAATGTCAATTTTAAAGTAATTGTGTTTATAAATGAAATTAACTTTAAAAAAAAAAAACACTTAGGCTAAACAAATGTACTCTTTCAAATTGATTCTATATTTTCTAGTAACATCTCTGCATTGTTTACTACTTAAATACAAAGTTAGTTCTTCTCAATCCATACATAAATTACATAATTCTCATCCAACATTAATACGAAGTTAGCTCTTCCGTACATAAATTACATAATTCTCATCCAACATTAATACAAATTAGCTCTTCTCAATCCATACATAAATTACATAATTCTCATCCAACATTTAGATATATCTACTCCTCATATAATTGAAAAAAAAAAAATATTCTTTCATATATTTATTAGTCATATTTTTATTTATATTCTTTTTGTAAAATAGGATATCTTGTTTTGAAATTATGTAATTTTAGAAAATAAGATCTAATGTCTGATAATAATACGAGTAATATTTATACTCTAGTAACTTTTTTTTAGTAACTTTTTTTTTAATAATGTATGTTGTTCGATATATATAAAAAGATTCTATATTTGTAAGTGAAAATAATTATATTTTCGAGTGACAAATTTATATCATTCTCTATCATAATCTTTCACAATATTTAAAATGTACTAACTGCATATCATATTTAAATGTGTAAATGAATTTTTAAAGAATGTTTTTTCTTATCATACTTCTTTCACAATATTTAAAATGTACTTAAGTGTGTACATGATTTAAGTGTGTACATGATTAATTGATTATTATATAGATGTGCAAACCATTATTTATTGTGTATCTCATGTTTCCAAAACTTTGTCCAATCTACACCATCACATATGTCCTCAAATATTCTCAAATGGCTATTAATATTTTCAATATCACATACATGAAGAAACAGCCATACACTTTTTCCATGCATTATTTTCAAATTTTCAAGAAAGGCATATATACCTAATGTTTTCACATTCAATATCTAAAAAGAAAACAATGGACATAAAACTTTTATGGGTTCAAGAAAAATACTTAATTTAACCAAATCAAATATCATAAAAAATAGTCATCTTGAATGCTTCACCAGATCTTGAGTTCTTCACCACATCCACACCACCACCACAGCACACACACACACACACACACACACACACACACACACATATATATATATATATATATAGACACCTCTTCCTTAGCAAAAAAAAATATGAAACTCAAGCAATCCACATATTAATTAATTTATTCCCACAAGAAAAAATAAATAAAAAACAGACAAAAGAAACAATAAGTTAAGAAGCAGCTTACATATTATTGCAGAAGCAATGGGCTGACACTTAGCCAATTACAAGATGTTATAATCAGCACACATACATACACAAATTACTTACACACCAACATAACAAGCCTACTCATGAAATCCTTCAAAGTAGACCACACTAATTCACTTTCTCCATGGAAAGATGTTCAGTTACTCGCCTAATCGCTAGACTGCCTTAGTCACGAACCCGATTTCACGGCTAGTTATAATACGAGACGCTGTTTATATGCACACATTTTCCCAAACAAATCACAAGCATTATACACAATTGTACTATCTCATAATAATAATCACCCGAACCCCCTACCGAAATCTAAATTCATGCGTTTCTCCCGTACGCATTACTCCCACTAAAGTACGAGAATTCATCACGAGACGAGTTCACACCGCGTTCGAACCCTTGTCCTTCAACGACCGGCCCAACATGGTATGGACCCATTCTTTTCTTACCCCACTTCGAAAAGCAATCGCCTGACCAATCCCACGATGCCACGTGTCCGTTCCAGTCGACCTTTAGGCCCTCGTTTTGACTCTCGACCACTGGTTCCTCCTCTTGGCGCGAGACCCTCGAGTCTTTTCCTGCCAATTTCCCATAAGCTTCGATTAGAGCTGCGTCCCGGGCCAAGATCCATGCTTTCTCGTTGGCCCACATCCTTTGCTCCCTCTCGACCCTCTCGGCATCTTGTTTCCTCCATTGTTCCTCCCTCGAAATTCGTTCTTTCTCGTTTTTGTCGATTATCCTCGTCATTTTCTCCATCCACGCCTCTTGTTTCTCCACTATTTTCTTCATTTGGATGTCTATCGAGTCCTTGATCTCGGCCTTGAAACTATTCTCCTTAAACATTTTCTTCTTGTTACTAGGGTTCTTGGCATGGATTTCAAGAAGATCGAGCTCCGCACTTTCGTCCTCCGAAGTGACGATCGTGTCGAAATCGGATGAGTTCGAGAAGCTCACGAGGCTCGCCAATGATTCTTGATTATTGTTGTTGTTGCTAATGTTGGCGAACGGGTTCGCAGTTTTCGAGTAATCGTACGTGAAATTCGCGTAATGGGTTTGGTGTGAAACCGAAGCCGAAGAATGATTGTTGTTGTTGTTGTTGCTGTTGCTCGCTTGATCACCGTAGAGGGCTTCGAGCTGCCGGAAAAACCGGTAGTGTTTACCGTCTTGCCGGCCGGACTTGCCGCCTTTCGTCTTTTTGTAGTATTTGTATAGGTTTTCGAATTTCTCCCGGCATTTTTTCCCGGTCCTTTGGTATCCATATTCATCATACATTATCCTTAAAACAAAGAAGGCATTTTTTTTTTTTTCAAAAAAAAAAAAAA